CGAGATGGTCTAGTTGGATTTTTGGTGAACACGAGGCTTCAGCATAAAACAGCATGCGAATCATCCAGATAACTCCAAACCATTGGAACATTTCTGTTTTCGTGTTTACAAAAGGTCACGTAAGCTGATTGAACAAGCAATATCATTCACTGCGTCCAGTAGCATTTCCGTACTACTGTCCCCAAGAAACAAGCACTTCTGTTGCTAGCATACTGCGAATTCATGGCATGATTCTCTTACCACTCCAATTGTTTATAACAATTCTTGCTCTTTTCTTCTCTTGCACGGCACATCGGCGAAGGGAACAGGAAGACACGACAAAAACATAAAAGCCGAGAAATGAAGATAAGACAAAATCATATTTTGAGCATATTCATCATGTATATTCGGAACAAATTACAGGTAACTTTTTCTAATACCTAACATAGATATCTACCAGTGCGGAGGCTGTACATCATGTTTTGGTGAAAGAGGACTCTGTGTGGACTGGGGTAAGGGATACTGTACAACTAGTGTGGATTGGATTAGGGAAGACGAAGTACAAGCGGTCCCTGATCCGGACCAAGAGACCAGAACAGCTTTTCATGTGGCAACTGCTCATCAGACGGGTCCTCCAATGCTTGTCCCAACCCTAAACGCTTGAGTAATCGACTGGCCAGATTAGGGATCACGGGACTCAACAAGAGACCTGCAAGGCGAAGTGATTCGGCCGCTAAGGCAATGACATGCTCTGATTCAACTGCAGGATTTTTCTCCCACGGTTTGTGTCGATCAATCATGGCATTAGTTAATCGAATAACTTGTAAAACGTGTTCAATTGCCAAATGAGGTTGAGCCTGGACCCACCAACTGTTATCAAATTTTTCCGCCAGCGTGTCAAGTCTGAAAAGCAAATGATAGTGAAACTGTAGTATCGAACAGACAAACACAAACATATTACTTGGATGGAGGGAGGGGGTACTCAATCGGTCTCACAAGTCCCACTAAACAGTCATAATCATGCAAATATAACATATATTTGACAAATGAAGAAGGAAACGGGAAAGCAATTTGAATATTTGGAACTGAAGATCATAATTATTCCCTACTTTGAAAGTGATTTTTAGGAAGAGTATGTTATCATTTGTCCTGATACTTCAGGACGGGTCATTTGTCGGGAGTCCGACAACGGGAGCTCAAGTGTTTACACAAATCCGTCTAATGTACACAAAGAATACGGGGGTTAAGAAGACGGAACCTGAATACCGTCGCCTTGGCTATAATACGGAAGTACACATGATAGGACCGTTCTTTTTCAACTCTGGACAGGAATCGGAGATTTTCAGTTGGGTTTATAGTGTGATTGGTGTCAACAAAATGCAATTACATTTAACCCAATTACTCCACTTTACAGTAATACACGATGTCGCTCACGGACACGTGAGACAAGACGTCTAGTAATGCGGCCAATGTACTAAGTTCTTGAAGAGCGGTTGGATGAATAGATACACTATAGACTGAATGTGAACTGAATTTAAAGCTGGACTGTGTGGGACGTTGTATTGATGGAATGGAACAGTCTTATATGCACAATTTCTGCCAAGGTGTTACACTGAACAGGTAAAGAGATGTAAATGGTTTTTTTACTCAGCTTTACTCTTTTTGAGAAACGCCTCGAGTTTTTGAATCGCAGAATCCACTAAGCGCTACGGTATCAAACGTGGATTTGAAGTTCATCAACCGTGACGTCCTCCGCACAGATCCTTTTAGCTGTGTTGATCCAACAGAATGAGGATTTCCCTTAAACTTGGTGGCACGAAACTACGGAAGTGAACCCGACGTCAGTTCCGCGTCGCCTACGTGCGTACTGATCGGCCTGTCATTACGATAAGTTATGCAGATGTCCAGACATGCTAGTTCATTGACTTTCTTTTTCCATCGTAAGTTTCGACTTCCTTTGTGTAGCGCTCAAATAATCTGGACCTTTACGGTTCGTTATGGAGTTATCCGCGCACGAAATGTCGTTCAGGAAGTGCTTCCACAGTAGACATTTACGTTCGGAGCGGACCACTTTTTACTTTAGATTGAAAAACATCACCAAACAAGAGCATTATTGTGGTCCCTATTGGTACAGCGTCCATTTGACAATAGTTTTAATTGCTGAACTTGAATTACACACTGTGAATGAAGAATAACAATTGTTTTAAGTCATCCGACAGTGGGCTTATATCCATCCCGTTGCGAAAACGGGGCGATGTTTGATAGTAAAGCCATATTAAGTGTCAGTGACAGCGAAGTTAGCTTTAACGCTACACCACGTCATTTTCATCCTCACCTATTCCAGAAGATACACTAACTAATTAACCACAGCGTGATAGGGAGACTTCATCTGATCAGGATTACCCTGAGGGGAACTTCAATGTTACATTCGGTTACACACAAACGCGCAACCGTAATCCCTATGGGATAGGCCCGTTCAAAGGCAGTGGTATTTAAATAGCTGTTTCATCTAAGCTTTAGAAACCCATATTCAAAATGAGGAATCATTATGATCCTAATTACCTTCCTGTTCGCTTCTTGAACCTTCACCTGTAACTGTTTATACACTTGTTGTATTAAATAACGGAAAACAAATTGTTTGCCACTTTATGTTCTCACCATGACCTCTCAATCTCCTTAAGGAATAACATTGAGTAACACTCATCGTAAATCGCTCCTGAACACAACAATGTGTCCACAGCATTTAGTGATGCTACTGAGAATACATATGAATCTGTCCGAACTAAGGTGAAATGGGTAAGCTAAATCGGGGGACAGACAGTCAGAGATCACCACAGGATGGAAGTGCCCAATATGTTCACTTCCTGCTCTAGCAATAGTGAAAGAACCCAGTTCTAAATACGTACAACATAAAAATACTCGTCGCAACTGATCATGCACTATTGGCAAACTCACTGATTCAACAGCTCCGCATCCTCTTTGAACTGCTCGAACAACGCACCAGCCTCGGTTCGGTTGATTCGTACTACGGACTGACTTGGGTTGAGCCGTGTTGAGGTTACCCTGTGGAATAAAATGATTCGTGATAAAAATGTCTGACTATGAGTGAATTCCGACCGGTGTGAACACTGTGCTGGAAGCACTCAGCCTCGAACTTCCTTTTCGACTCGGATTTACCATTTTATGTCTCTTTATTGGTGGATATCGGGCTCCTTTTTCATTTTTACTTCCTTTTTTAATATATAAAGATACAATTTTCAGGGAATAGGGAGCGGCCAATCAAAGAGCTGCGCCATAAGAGTGATTTCAATAATCCAATACAATCTTTTATTTTCACCCACTTCTGTTACTGTCCCACTAGAGGTAATCCAGATTTAGAAAGAATGGTCATACAGCATAGCCTTGTTTTTCTCATTCTCATACAAGGTTCCTGTGATTGCTGTCTGCTGCTAACTAGACCAAATAAATTTTCCACGATACATGTGCGATCAAAATGAATAACTTTCCGTTTACGTAATTTGTAACCAAAAGTGTCACTCTACTTCATATATCACTCATTACTGCTGTCTACTGGTGCTCCCTCATATTTCGAGTTTGTTTTTTGCCTCTACCAACGTCCTGAATATCATTTTTGACGTTCGGGGCCCAGTGAAAATGATTTTTCATGTTCAATTCAAGATTAGGCTTCATTTACATGGCTGGGTGTCGCAAGCATTGGCCCACATGCAGCTACTCATTATTCTTGCAACCTCAGTTTATATGAATTCTTTATCTTCCGCTTGAATATGCTCCCAACATTTCAATCTTCATCCAGATGGGCGATCAAAAGACAATAACCAAAACCGGTGCATGAAAGTGCATGGTTAATTGTTGTAAAAAAGTAAGAAGTGAACTACTTCCCCAGTCAGGGTATGACAGCCTTTTGATTGGCCGCATCCCCCTTCCTGAAAATTGTATCATCTAATGCATTAAATAAAAGGGAGTAAAAATGAAAAGAGGTTGGGGGCTGGACCTACCTAATCTTGCGGCAACGTTTTACACTTTGAAGGTGCAAAACGTATACCGAACATGGCTACACTAGCGCTCAAACTGTCCAGAAAAGTTTGCAACTTACCCTGATCTTCACTTAGTAACACAATGTCGTCTAAATACTCCAGATCAGAGAATGTGACATCTGGGAGCAAATCGATGCCGTTATCCTCGCACGAGGATAGGGTTGTCACCATAATCAAATCAAAGTTAAATAGAAAAGGAGAGAGAGAGGGCAACCCTGACGAACACCACTTTCCGTGGTGAACTAGGGCGAAAAAGTGCCGTAAGCTCCGACTCGGCTTAATGGTATAAAAGGTTTGCAGTATTGAAATGAACTTTTCGGGCACATCCTTCAGGGGAAGGCAGCGCCAGAGTTTGGAGCGGTCGACTGAGTCAAAAGCCGCTTTTAGATCGAGTGACGGTGAGAACAACACTTGGCGTTTATCACAAAAACTGACTGATCCTAAACGAGTGCAAAGGTGTAAAGTGAAACAACAAATAGTATCTTTTGGCACCTGGAGAGCAGATTACCGATCGAGTTGACAAGCTCCGTATTGATCATTTTCCGCGCCAAAGCTCGGTTGTAGGAGCTATCGTTGGACAACAAGGCGGACCGTATTAATATGTAGCGTAAACCCTCAGAGTCGGAGCTGGGTACGGCCAACTGTTCTGGTGGAACCGGGGACAATGCGAGTTGTTCATCAAACGGATCAGCCACGTTTCTTCGACTTTTAGACATCTGTCGTAAACAACACACCGGATAAGAACACTAGTCGTTGATGGACGTTATATAACAGTTAGAACAAATAAAAAGAATTCGTCACACAAATTAGTGGAAGCGGAGACAACAAAAAAAACACGGATTGCTCAAACAAGAACCATGAGATACCGTGTCTACCGAAACCGTACGTTACGTTAATAAGTCTGAAGAGTGGAATAACTAAACCTGATAGTATGTTCAGCTCAGATAATTGTTGTCGGCGATAACACACAAGACTTGCTTTCCGTGCTCGACCGTTTACTGCACTATAAAAGTTGAACAGATCATGTACTTTAGTCATCTTATGTCAATCATCGGTCAGGCTGAAGACGAAATTCCCGCTCAAATCGACCAGGCGAGAAGCGCGTTTCTCGTGCTCCTCAGGACGAATTAGACAGGAGAACAAATAGGCTCTGGAAAACTCTACAAGGACACCATTCAACCAGTCATAATAAACTATTTTGAANGTCAGAAAACTGCGTATTTTCGACCATTGGTGGCTTAGAAAAATAAAGGCGCTGTTTCAGGCAAACAATTATCAGGCTTCAAACAGTGCCACCGTATGCAGTGGTTTGGTTACATCTTATTACTACATAAACCAATCGAACTCCGCAGCACCCGCCTCCCCCAACGTTATGTCCAGCTTGGAGCAGCTGTAGGAGAGCATAAGTTATAACGTAACTTGATTCTGTCTAAAAGGAACTTTAGTAATTGGTATCCACTTAGTCTATAGGTGACGCTGCTGGCTTCAAAACGGAATCACCTCCTTAAACCTCGCCTCCAACCGTGGTCAATGGGCAGTCTAAATCCTTGACATCTTCCGTAATGAAATCGTCGCACAAAAGAAAGATGAGAGTAATATCGGTGTGGGTAAAAAAATATGAAAAACATACGACCAATATCCAGAAGGGACACAAAATGATTAGAATGGAAGTGTGTAAAAACAGGTAGCAAACGGAAGTCGAACTAAACACAATCTCCACTCACCTTGATTCCGTCCACGAGGAGATGATTATGGCAAATGAGGTGTTTGGGTAAATCGAGTCCGACAGCGAGCAACAAGGCTGGCCACAACACAGCATGAAATCTGAAACCAAGAGCGATGCAGTGAATTTCACAGTAAGTAAGGAATTCATGAAATGACTTACAACCGAACGTCTCTCACTGTATCTATATTTCTACGCTCGCAATACAGCGAACTGGCATTGTACACTACTCCATTTAGAGAAAGGTGATGGTCGGACGACTTTGCTTACACCTAGAGTAAGCAAACGCAAGTGTGGCGTTTATTGAACGTGAGATTACGTCGTATATAATGTCATCACTTTTTATTAATACTTTGACAGATCTCATTCGGTACTCTACATCTTACTTGCTGGATCATTTTTGTTTTCTTGTCAATTCCATCTTTTACTCATCGCCGATAACTACTGTACACGTGGTCCCTTAGAGTTAACTATTAAAATCTCGTAACACTGAATATCAAAACCGATGGAATCACTCATTGGTCTGGAAATAGAGAGAGGATTACATTCATGGCTTTCCTTTTTCATTTTTACTTCCTTTTATCAGATACACAAAGATACAATTTTCAGGAAGGGAGGAGTGGCCAACCAAAGAGCTGCCGTACAACATTGTGGACCAACCTGAGAATATCTTTACCAACAAATTGAAAATCCGGTGGCCATAACTGCGCATACGATTTTGCTTTGGACCAAGGAAAACCGGTTACTGTCAAGTAGTTAATCAGTGCATCCAACCAAACGTAGATCTGGGAAAAAATAGAGTTGATTCAATGAAAGGGCAGAGCAAAATGATATGATCAAACTGATTCACACAAGTCTATCCATTACGAAAATGGACAGTGCGAAAATTGTGATGAAATGGGCGGGGGTATCAAACAAGTGAGGGTACAAATTAGGATGCCCCAATGAAAAGCAGTCCAACAAGATCTTTCCTCTCGAAGACGTGTTGAGTGAATCAGAATTGTACAAAAACTTACCCTCTCCCCCAGAAGACTACAGCACCAGGTTTTACCATTTGAAGTCCCAGTAGAAAACAGTATAACGATCGTGTTTTTCGCTCATCATGCCCGAACCGAATCCTGACGTGTTTTGATAAATCTACGTGTATTTATTATCAGTGGAAAGTCTGATTGTGTAAGGTTTGAAGAAATTCTGATGTAGCTAGGATATGGCTTAAGATATAAACTAGCAGAGTGAAGGTTGAACGAATTTTTAAAGGATTCAACTTATAATGATCTAGGCTGATTATTTTGGGCAACGGGGAAAGCTCAAAAGGTGGTTACGGTGGTTCAAAGCTTAGGGTAGAGAAAATGACCCAATCATGACGCCCTTTTCGTTTCTCAACAGCTCCGGATGAGTTCATTCTTTTTTTTCACGGTGTGTCAGCTTTGACTAGGGCCTTGTGTATTCACACTGACCACACCGTCTGCTTAAGCATCACCACCATGACTGTCGTTTTTGGTTTGAAACACTTTTCATTTTTTGTGGTAATGTTTTTTCGCACAGATGAATCAGTTGACTATCAGCGGTGCGAGACAATATGATTGATTTGTATTGTTTGTTAGATGAATTTCCCCTACATCAGGATTAAGCGAGTTCTTTGGAAAGCAGAAGTCACCGTGGCGTCCCCAATACCACTCAACCTTTTTAATCGAGGATGCGCTTCTGGCCATTGCTTCGGGTTACCTTTCGGGCGAAAAACGCGATAGATGTAGCCACTGTGCCGTTTTGTAGAAAAGAGAGTGAAGATTGCATTCTGCCGCTGATTGTCCGCGATCGCTTATTTGGTCGGGCGATAACCACTTATTCTTAGTTAACCAACGCAGTGCTTGTTTGCCTATCCGTAACCTGGAGGCCGGTAGCGATAGGCTTCACTAAACGTGGACTTGAAGTAGTGCAACGAATTTGGACATACTCATCTTCTGAAATGCCATCAACAGAACACTCAAGCAACTGCTGCTTTCACATTATCCGTTTACTTCGAAACACTAATTCTCATAACTTCTTTCACAAGTTCGTTGACCTTTGCAAGACAAACCATGCGTGAACACATGGGATAGATTCGTTAATGTGTGTGGCACACCTATTCGGATTCCAAGGTAAAGTTTGCCAGAACAGTTTTACAATGGAAGTGAACATC